ACAACATTGTCAATATACCCACCTCCGAAACCTCAAAGGGGAACATGAACTGGTCTCCAGCCCAAAAAGCCTTCTTGGAAGAGCTCAAGAAGGATTTTAAAAATCAAGTAAGAGAGGTAGAAGAAAAGTTGGGAAAAGAAAGAAGAGGTATGCAAGAGAGAGTCAATAGTTTGGAAAAGGAAGGTTAAAAAATTAATTGTAGAAAACAAGTCCTTAAAAAATACAATTGGCCAAATGGGGAAAAAAAAGTACACTGAAGAAAACAAGTCCCTAAAAAACACAATTGGCCAAATGGAAAAGGAGACACAAAAACTCACTGAAGAGAAGAACTCCTTAAAAAGTAAAATGGGCCAAATGGAAAAAAAGGTACAAAATCTAAAAGAAGAAAACAATTCATTAAAAATTAGAATGGGGCAAATAGAAGCTAATGTCTCTATGAGAAATCAAGAATCAGTCAAACAGAAACAAAAGAATGAAAAAAAAATGGAAGAAAAGGTAAAATATCTTATTGGTAAAACAATTGACCTGGAAAATAGATTCAGGAGAGACAATTTAAAAATTATTGGTTTACCTGAAAACCATAATGAAAAAAAGAGCCTGGACAGCATCTTTCAGGAAATCCTCAAGGAAACCTGCCCTGAGGTCCCAGAACCAGAGGGTAAAATAGTCATCCAAAGAATCCACCAATCACCTCCTGAAAGAGATCCCAAATTGAAAATAACAAGGAATATTGTAGCCAAATTCCAGAATTATCAGGTCAAAGAGAAAATACTGCAAGTAGCCAGAAAGAAACAATTTAAATATCACAGAACCACAGTCAGGATTACGCAGGACCTTGCAGCTTCTATATTAAAAGATCAGAGAGCATGGAATACTATATTCCATAAGGAAAAGGAGCTTGGATTACAACCAAGGATCAACTACCCACCAAAATTGAGCATAATCTTTCAGGGGAGGAGATGGATATTCAATGAAATAGGGGACTTCCAAACCTTCCTGAAGAAAAGACCAGAGCTCAACAGAAAATTTGATTTTCAAATACAAGACTTAAGAGAGGCATAAAAAGATAAAAAGGAAAGGAAAAAACAACAACAATATGTTATTAATAAGAGCAAATTGTTTACATCCCTCCAAGGGAAGATGATACTTTTAACTCTTGAGAACTATATTGTTATTATGACATTTAAAAGGGGTATACATAGACAGAGGGCATGGGTATAAGTTGACTTTAATGTGATGATAAAAAATCTAATTAAGTGGCAAAAAGGAATTATGCTGGGAGAAGAAGAAAGGAGGAGGCACAAAAGGGTAAATTACATCACATGAAAAGGCACTAAAACCAATTACAGTAGAAGGAAAGAATGGAGGGAGATGAGAATTATTTGAACCTCTCATCAGATTTGGTTCAAAGAGGGAATAACACAATCAGCTAAATATAGAAATCTAACTTACCCTATAGGAAGTAGGAGGGGAAAGGGAAGAAAAGGGAGGGGTGACTAGAAGGGAGGGAAGAAGTAGTAAGGATAAAGGGGAAGAAAAGGGAGCGCAGACTGAAGGAGGTGGTAGTTGAAACCAATTTATGAGGTAGTTGGCACACACTGCATAATAAACTGATATGCTTAGAAACTAGAACCTTTGCTTCTTCACTTATTTCATTTTTCACCTGCCACACAATGAGCTATAGCCTAGCAGGCTGAAAGAACTACTTGGGATTTTTGCAAGAGCATAGAGGAAGGGGGTTGTGTTGTTGTAGAATTGCAGAAAGGCAAATATCCCAATACAGAAAGGCTGGAAAGAAGGTGAGGGAGTACAGCCTGTAAACAATAGACCTGTGTTTGACTTTGATTCCTGGTAAAATCCTGGAGAGTAAGATTAAAAGGATGGCTAATGAATGCCCAGAAAGAGAAGTAATGACCACAAAAGGTGAGGAAGGGTCCTGCTGGGCTACCTCCATTTATTTGCTTGACAAAGTCATTACACTAATAAAACAGGTGTTACTTATGCAGTTTTCAACAAAGCCTCTCATGATGTTATTTTGGAAATGATATGGAGATATGGGTTAGGCAGTTAGGTTCATCTGGGACTGGTTGAATGGTTGAACCCAAAGGGTAGTTATTAATAAGACATTGTCAACTTGGGTTAAAAAAAATCAATTTCCCAAGGTCAAAGGGGAGGTATGACCAGACAGAAGTTTGTCTTAGTGAACCACAAACTCAATGAGTCAACAGTATAACTGTTTAAAAAAATGAATTCACTCTTAAACTGCCTGATAGGAGGCATAGCATAAAACACAAATAATGTCCTAGTCATGGGAGTGGTCTGCTCTACCCTAGGTAAGACCTCAGTGGAGGCTGCATGAATTAGGGTAGCACAGATCATGAAAAAGCACCCAGAGAAAGACAATTAGGATATGAAGGGCCTCACCATCATACCACATAAAGACTGACTGAAGGAATTAGAAAAGAAAAAAAAACTTAGGTGATGGGGATTAGACTTTTGAAATGTATATGTAGTTGCTGAGGACAGAATGAGAAGCATCTCTACCACAGACCTGAAAAGTGCTGACTAAACCTTCACTTAAAAACTCCAAGGAAGGGAAATGTGCTACCTTCTCAGGCAGCTGATTTCATGTTCAGATAGCTCTGTCCATTATAGAGATTTTGTTATGCCCTTACTGAGTGCGAGGCACCGTGCTAACAAAGCCAAAAATAGTCCCTGCCCTCAGGGAGCTCCTACTTTAATGGGAAAGACAACATACAAACAACTAACTACATTAATACAAAATATGGAGAGGGTAAATTGGCAGTAATCTCAGACAGAAGACATTAGCAGGAGAACTACGGGGGCGGGGGGTAAATCTCTTGAATAGTTGGGATCTGAGCTGTATTTTCAAAGCTAGGGAAGCCGGGAAGCAGAAATGAGAAGTGATGGAATTCTAGGCATGGGTGATAGCCAATGAAAAGATACAAAAATGGGAGAGAAAGCATCACATGTGAGAAACAGCTGGCAGAATAGCACAGCAGGTAGAATAATAGGCTGAACTGTAGGGTGTGTAGAGGGGAATAATTTGCAAGAAGACTGGGAATGTAGGAAGGGGTCAGGTTGTTCAATTTGGACCTGTGCCCAAAGGGCTATAAAACTGTGCATATCCTTTGACTCAGCAATACCAATTCCAGGTCTGTATCCCAAAAAGATCATGAAAAGGGGGAAAGGGCCCATTTATAGCAGTTCTTTTTGTGGCAAAGAATTGGAAATTGAGGGGATGCCCATCAACTGGAGAATGGGTAAACAAGTTGTGGTATATAAATGTGATGGAATACTACTGTTCTATAAGAAATGATGAGCAGGTAGATTTTGGAAAAACCTGGAAAGACTTGCGTGGACTGATGCTGAGTGAAGTGAGCCAAATCAGGAGAACACTGTACACGGAACAGCAATGCTGTGCGATGATCAACTGTGAGAGACTTAGCTCTTCTCAGCAGTGCAATGATCCAAGACAATTCCAAAAGACTCATGATGGAAAATGCTGTCCACATCCAGAGAAAGAACTATGGAGTCTGAATGCAGATCGAAGCACACTATTTTCACCTTTTTTTGTTTGTTTATTTTTTGTCTCTTCTTTCTCATCGTTTTGCCCTTTGGTTCTGATTCTTCTTTCACAGCATGACCAATGTGGAAATATATTGAATGTGATTGTACACGTATAACTTATAGTAGAGTGTTTGCTGCCTTGGGGGATGGAGAGGCAAAGGAGAGAGGAAGGAAAATTTGAAACTCAAAATCTTACAAAAAGGAATGTAATTGGAAAAAATAAAACACTATTAAACGCAAAAAAAAGAGGTTATATCTTATCTGAGAGGTGATGGGAACCTGCTGGAGTTTATTAGCAAGGGAATGCCTATAAGAACTTCAATAGCCTTCCTACCCAACTAAATGAGGAAACTCTGGGAAGCTCAAACAACCAGTCCCCCTTCCAAAAGATCACCAGGAATGACTGGAGGCCCTTTTCTTGCCAGTCAAGCAAGATTATCAACAAGCTGCTAATTCCCCAGAAGTCTTCCCCAAACTTCCCCCCACCCTGCCCCGAATGAATCAGTCTTCTTGGACAAATCCTTCAGCCCCTTTAATTCCTGTTCCTGCTTGACCCAGACAGGAATTTGACCTGAACTCATCAGATTTTATTGCTGTGGGGTGCCCCCTTCCAAGGGGCACTTATAAAGACGACTTGTTTCATTTTTTTCCGCTTGATATACTTCATGTATCCTTATAAGGAACTTTGGTATTCCAAACCTTACTAAACTTTTATCAAGACACTTGGCAACAAGGATGGGATCTGGAAGTCAGTAAGGAAATGTGACTTGAAGGTGGCTGCTTGTTGCTTGTGCTTTCTGCTGGGCTGATCACCTACAGTGAGATCATGAGGTGGTACCCACAGTGGGCTTTTAAGGCCAGCCAGATGCATGCTGTATGGTACATGTTTGTAGTGGAACATTATTGTGCTAAAAGAAATGACAAGCAGGATAATTTCAGAAAAGCCTGGAAAGACTTACATAAATGGATACATAGTGAAGTGAACAGAACCAGGAGAACAGTGCATACAGTAACAGCAGTATTATACGATGAAGGATTGTGAATGACTTAGCTATTCTCAGCAATCACTGATCCAAGATAATCCCAAAGAACTAATGATGAAGCATACTGTCCGCCTCCAGAGAAAGAACAGATATTGCTTAAGTAGAGTCTGAATCGTGCTAGTTTTCACTTTCTTTCATTCTCTTTCTTTTATCTGAGCCTTCTTGTACAAAATAACTAGTATGGAAATGTTTTACATAATTGCACATGTATAACCTATATCTGATTTCTTACTGTCTTAGAGAAGAGGGAGGGGAGGAAGGGAGGGGTAGAATTTGTAACTCAAAACTTTAAATAAAAAATGTTTTTAAAAATTGGGGAAAAAAGAAAGAAAGAAATGGGCTGGGAGAATGCCCTGGCATTTCAGGGATCTGAAGCAGGTGAATCATTTTGTCTGAGGGGGTAATCTCATCTAGGTCACCTGCTGGATCTTGCTCAGGCCTGAGAGAGCACATTTCACCCCCTCCCTCCAGGTTCTGAAGGCAGGACCTTTGATGCTAAAATCATCACTTGACTGGAGCCGAAAGCGATGCGGGAGTGGTTCAGAATCCAACTGTCTCCCTTCTCTTTAAAGGGATATCGGCAGAAGGACTATTTCATCGCAACCCAAGGACCTCTTCCGCACACAGTGGAAGACTTCTGGAGGATGGTCTGGGAGTGGAAATGCCACACAACTGTGATGCTAACTGAGGTCCAAGAGAGGGAGCAGGTGAGGGGTAGCCCCAATGGTGGCTTAGCCACCAGATCTCCCGTGGAGGTCCTAGGCATTGAGGATCTTACACTAGAGAAAGTTTTTGTCACTTATTGTTTGACAGTTTTCATTATCTCAGCTCCTCCTAGTCCTTCCCCCCTAAAACTGCCTTGTAATTATTCTATATCTACCTATAAATGTACGTATTGTGTGTGCCCCTACCCTTAAAGAATGGAAGCTCCCTGAGTGCAGGGGTTTTTGCCTGGCATAGTCATTGCAGCACTTAGATAAATGTTGCTAGATTATTGGGGTGCTACAAGACAATTTGTGAACCCCTTGGGCAATGAAGGCATAGTCACCATGGAGTTGTATTGGGATAACAATCATCCTCTGAGACCTTCTGTTCAGGCGGTCTCTCAACTCTGCCCATTTTTGTTTGCCAGTATCACCAGCTGTGGGGGAAAATGTCACTCCTTCCCATTACATAAGATCATAAAAACGTGGAGATTAATGTGTGTGTGCCCAGTTGCTATGTCACTAAACAAATGGAATGAACTAAAAGTGTCCGGAGCTGTTCCTAAAGTTTTCTTAGAATTTGCAGGAAAATAGTGACTGAAAGCCTTTGATTTTTATTTTTATCTCCTAGGAAAAATGCTTTCAGTATTGGCCAGCAGATGGCTCTGTGACTCACGGAGAGATCAATATTGAAATAAAGAGCGACACCATTTCTGAGGCCATCAGTGTACGAGATTTCTTGGTGACTTTTAATCAGGTATTGGATGCCATCCCCCCCGCCCCCCCAAGAGGGTGGAGGGTAACAATTGCTCTTTGAAACTCGATGAGCCGGGAGAATTGCAGGAGTGATGAATGTGTGCAGACTTTATTTATTAAGCAAGACCGCTGCCCACACAGCAGTTCATTCCTCTGGGTGTATGGCAAGGGAAACACCATGAGCCGCTGCAGGGATGCCCACGGAGGCCCCTTGAAGCATCTCGAGCTGCCCCCTAGGGGAGATCTCTAGCATAACATGCTGGTGAACCATTGACAGGTGGAAGTCCCTGGGGCCATCTGGGAGAAGTTATCCAGAGGGGAATTTTAGAAAGCAGGGCTTTCTAACTCAGTGTTGGGTGTGAATGCTGCATGTGTTTAGGTTCCTAGTTTCACCTAGGTCAGTAAGGATCCTCAGAATCCATTTTACAGATGAGGAAACTGAGGGGGAGCGAGTTGAGATCTCATCAGCTGCTGTCTTTTGTCCTTTTGCCAAGGGGCCAAAAGGCATACCCATCCTCTGAGGAGGGAGAGGAGCGGGTAATCACAGAACTAAACCCAGGTTCATCTTTGGGTGACCTCATCGGGGGGCACAGAGGACCTCTCCCCACCTCACCCCCAGAAGCCCTCCAGCCCACTCACTGGGAGTTTGCAACTTTCTCTGGTCCCATGGCGCTGCTGGGGAGTGACCCATCAGGAGAGTGGCCCTCAGGGCAGACTCTTAACAAAGGCTTGTGCATTGGTTGGTGGATGGAGATGACAACCTGAAAACCAAGTGTTCAGATGAGTCCTCCTAATGACGCACTGTGCCTCAACCCCCTAGGAGAAGAGCAGGCCGGTCAGACAGTTTCACTTTCACGGCTGGCCTGAGATTGGGATCCCAGCCGAAGGGAAAGGCATGATCGACCTCATTGCCGCTGTCCAGAAGCAGCAGCAGCAGACGGGCAACCACCCCATCACCGTGCACTGCAGGTAAGGTTCCTGCTCTGCCAGGCTGCTCTGTGGGGCCGTTAATTCTCCAGCTATGGCGAGCAGCTGCCTGCTTTAAGCCCGTGTGGAAGGGGTATTGAAGTTCATCCAGCTTCATGGACCTCTCAGTTTCCACCACTATAAAATGGGAGCCCTGCTTACACACTCTCTGTCAGCTCCTAATGGGTCAGAACCTTCAATCGCCTTGCTGGCCTCTGATAATAACTCACATTTCTGTTGTGCTTCAAAGCTTTCTAAGATGCTTTCCCCTTAGCGAGCCCCATGACAGAGAGTGTGTAAGCAGGGCTCCCATT